CAGCACTCTGCGTTTGTTGTGGTGACACCAGAGTGACACCCTGGGGAACTCCTTACAGTTATGTGGGCCAAAGTATTATTGTTGTATATGATTGGGGATAATTAGCAGAAATATAGTTATCCCATGTTCAGTAGTGAACCCAAAAATATTGAAAGTACAGTACCAGTAATAACGTGTTGTGAGTGTATCCTCCATGTGTACTACCAACCAAGTTCTAGTGAAGGTGCCATATGTAAGCTTGTTATATTGGGTGTTCTTTTAAATGTACAACCAGTATTGATGCAAGAAGCAAGAGTATCTAATTGGAACTGCAGATGAGTAAAGCCTAGGAGTAGATCCTTGTAGTATGTTATTGACATCTTTAACCAAATTTAATTTCATATGAATAAACCATTTTTAGAGTATGTTAGGGGTATCGTTTTCCCTCAGTATCTACCTTTATTCTTGTCCAATAGCTTGATACCAAAGGTCAGAAGTTATGAAGTAACTGTAGGAAACGAAATAATTAGACAACTAATGGAAAAAATGAATGAATAAGGAAAAGAAAGAAAACACAAAGGAACCCCCCCCCTTATAACACCACAACACACGTTCCTCACCAGACTGTCACACCACAACACATGTCCCTCACCAGGCTGTCACACCACAACACGTCCCTCACCAGACTGTCACACCACAACACGTCCCTCACCAGGCTGTCACACCACAACACGTCCCTCACCAGACTGTCACACCACAACACATGTCCCTCACCAGACTGTTACACCACAACACATGTCCCTCACCAGACTGTCACACCACAACACATGTCCCTCACCAGACTGTCACCACAACACAACACATGCCCCTCACCAGACTGTCACACCACAACACGTCCCTCACCAGACTGTCACACCACAACACGTCCCTCACCAGACTGTCACACCACAACACATGTCCTCACCAGACTGTTACACCACAACACATGACCAGACTGTCACACCACAACACGTCCCTCACCAGACTGTCACACCACAACACGTCCCTCACCAGACTGTCACACCACAACACGTCCCTCACCAGACTGTCACACCACAACACGTCCCTCACCAGACTGTCACACCACAACATGTTCCTCACCAGACTGTTACACCACAACACATGTCCCTCACCAGACTGTCACACCACAACACATGTCCCTCACCAGACTGTCACACCACAACACATGCCCCTCACCAGACTGTCACACCACAACACGTGCCCCTCACCAGACTGTCACACCACAACACATGTCCCTCACCAGACTGTCACACCACAACACATGTTCCTCACCAGACTGTCCCACAACACATGTCCCTCACCAGACTGTTACACCACAACACATGTCCCTCACCAGACTGTCACACCACAACACATGCCCCTCACCAGACTGTCACACCACAACACGTGCCCCTCACCAGACTGTCACACCACAACACATGTCCCTCACCAGACTGTCACACCACAACACATGTTCCTCACCAGACTGTCACACCACAACACATGTTCCTCACCAGACTGTTACACCACAGTAGAAGAGGACCACCACCAGTCCTCACGCACAGGTAAATAAGTGACCACCTCCACCACCTCTTTATCACTGTTTACTAACACACTGAATGAAAGAACCACAACATATCGACAGTAGATCACACAATTACCCCCCTTCACGACCACTGGTGGGAGACGGTCCTGCGGTATAAAATAAAACCTATAAACGAACAATTTAAGCTCGCAAGTTAACCAGGGGACGAAGAGGATAAATTTAATTAAAAAAGATATAATTCAAACAACAAAGGTCAATAAACAGTAACTAATGGGGCATAGTCTTAACCTTTACCTAATTACTAATTGGAGGGGGTGGGGGGAGTCGATCAAGAGGGAGTAGATATAGGGAGGTGGAGGGAGTAGAGAAGGGAGGGGTGGTCAAGGGTATTTTGGGGGGTGTGGTGTATTGGGTTATATATAGTAGTGACATAGGTATGCGAGCCAACAGAAGTGACCATGTCGTCTCGACAGCTTCTTGGTGTGCTCCTGTCGGTGGTGTGGATGGAAAGGACGCACTCTCACAATGATGGATGAGAAACGGATCTCTTCCAGTCTTCAACCGCAACAGAGATATAGAACCTCCAGTTTTCTCACGCCCTCGCCGCCTTCCCCCTGAGCTCCTGAATGCAGCCAAGGCGGAATTCATCAGACTCCTGCAAGACGGCATCATTCGACCTTCAAAGAGTCCCTGGGCATCTCCTCTTCACATGGTTCCAATTGTAGGGCAGTGTATGTGGCCATTAGTCTAATTTATCTTTGTCAGGCTCACATACATACATGGAGGAGATCTCGCACTAAGGATGAAGGTGATCAAGTAAATTCACAATGGCGATTTTTATATATATATTATATGTACAGAGCAGTCAGGTGCTGGGAAGTTACTGCGTTGTAGAGTTGCCGTGAAGGAGCTTCTTTAAAGGAGGTCTTCGCTTAAGAGCGTGGTGTTGTCTGCCCTCACGGCGAGGCAGGGGGGCACTTATATTATTCTGCCGGATCACGGGTCGAGGTGCAAAGATGAGAAACGCTGCTGATTGGCTGAAGTGAAGGCGGCAACTGGCCAATCACCGCGCAGTTCGAAAGCAATGCCCGGTTTTTGGAACTCGCTGCTGATTGGCTGAGGAGAGGAAGGCAGGTGACCAATCAGCAGTTATAGGGGAGAGTATTCACTACAATATAAGTAAAACGAATAAATTGTATAAAGATGAAATATAAGTATTACGAATAAACTGTATAAAAACTAATAAAGACTATAATGTAAAATATGAATAAATTGTATAAATGAAAAGAAAAGTAATAAGAGACGTGACCGATCGCCCAAGCGGCTAACGAGCCGATCAGTGGCTAAGAGGATGAAAGGAAGAAATAATAAAGACGAAATATTCACCAATAAGATTAAACTTTATAAAATCTAAGATGAATTAAACTAAATAATGTAAAATATGAGTAAATTGTATAAAAAATTTAATAAAACAATTTTAATGTAAAATATGAATAAATTGTATAAAGACAGTATTAACGTAAAATATGAATAAATTGTATAAATAAGAAATAACGTAAAATATGAATAAACTGTACAAAACTAGAATAAAGACTAAATATTAACGTAAAATATGAATAAATTGTATTTAACAATAAGTGGAAGTTCTTGTTACCAGCTGCTCAGTTTTTACCCAGGACTAACTATACCTTTACTTTATCATGGCACAAAAGTAACAAGACAAAACTACTAAAATTCGTAAAATTATCGTAAGAGTAATAAACTACATTAAAGAAACAATTCCACATGAAAGTAACGAAGTTCCTAAAAGTAACGTAAAAATAAAACTACAGAAAAGAAACCATTCCCAAACGTAAAGTGAACAACTCCACAAGTAACAAAACTTCTCAAAGTAGCGTAAAAGTAACATACTACACATGAAAGTAATAAAATACCTCAAACTATCAAACCATTTTCTTAACATTGTTCTATTGACAATTTCCTACAGTACTTTACAGAAATAAGCAACAAAAAATAGATTGATGAAATCTCAGTATAGGTACACCGGACTCGGGAGCCTCTATACTACTATTACATATAAATATTAATCAAGAAATTTAAGTCCCTTTCGCAACCCACCCCAGGCCTATGATGAACAGAAAACCTCAACACGCCTCCTCCATAGTTTTGACAAGTGATCGTGGGCATCTTCGCGCCCAGTGAAAGTTTGAACACTCGCGCTTGGCTAGCGTACAGTGAATGAGGGTGCGCCAGGTCAGTAGACTTGCATCGTTTTTCATCTTAAATAAAACGGTTAATTAATGCCTTCCTAAAGAAACCATCGACATGGGACCAGGTTTGTTCCACTACGAATTTTTTCCGATTTTTCCACCAAGTTTGATGACAAAAGATTGTGCCGTGTCGGCTGCCCAGAAAAAAACCAGATACAGACACGCCTAGTCCTATAGTATATTAGATTTGTGGGAGATCATGTAGGTCGACCTGGACGTTCCCCAAAAAGTCGGAACTTGGTAAAAACCGAAAAATGCACTTGAACCACCTGTCACTAAATTATAATAACAATTCATCGGATAATACTTATCGCAGAATTAGATATAACTGGTAATATTTGTTTATTTGATCACTAACATACAATATGATCAGTACACAAACAATAACATTATTGTAGTGTAACGTTCCTAAAATTTTATTTACCTAATATACAGTACAGCATTAATCTATGGCAAGATTGCTGGCAATGTATTATTTTGAAGTTACACCAAATTCAAATAAAATTCCATGTTTATTTTTAATATTTCCAACTTTTTTCAGGGTCTCCAGCCCCAAAATAAAGTAACCTGCCTTTACCAGACCAGTAGACACCACGAGCCTAAATTTAAGAAAATGCATATACTGTAAAGGCGACTTAAAACTTCCAGGCAGAGTTTAATCTACTTTAGAAATATATGTATAATTATTTCAAAGGCCATTAGTTGACACCAATTACTCGAATTTTTCTGAACCCAGATCCTTATTCCGCATGAAAAGTAGCACCTAGGTATAAAATTTCAGCAATATTTTTTTTACTCCCAAGTAAAGAAATTAAGGTATTAGGTAATGGGTATTTTTGACCCATATCTATTTTGGGGGAAGTTTAAAACTAACGCGTTTATATAATAAAGATATTAAGTATTTTAGTAAATGTATGTGAAGGAGACAAACTTAAGAGGAAAACCATAATCTATTTTAAATTTAGATTTTATATATATATATATATATATATATATATATATATATATATATATATATATATATATATATATATATATATATATATATATATATATATATTTCAAATGCCATTAATTACACTAATGACTCGAAAATTTAAATTGTGAACCCAGATCCTTATTGGAACTAAGGAAGAAACCACAATGAGAGACGCACTGTACTATACCTTAACTGGTTATAGTAGACAGTCAGGTTTCTGATGTGATGCACCAAGAGTCCCGTTCACCAGTAGAAACCAGTCTTGTGCTCATCGTGTCCTGCATCTTCCATCTTCGCGTCACCGTCCTGGAATGAATAATATTGTAACCACTATTAATAAAAAATTAAACACTCTTACAGTCATTGCACACCTACAGTATACTATACAGAACTCTTGGAACAACAGCCACCAAGTCCAGGAACAGCTGGACACAAATCGAAATGGTCGTTGTCTGGTTGTGAAGAGACTTTATAAATGTTGCTCATCTATAGTTTTTACAGGCGAAAAGAAAGATTATTTACATTAAAACTTCCTCGGCAGTATTCAGATTTATAATTAGTTTTGTTGTATTGTATGACCAAGTGTTTGAGAATTTTGTGAGCCGTGTACAATACAGCACACTGCTCAATGGCAGTGGCGTACAGCACACTGCTCAATGGCAGTGGCGTACAGCACACTGCTCAATGGCAGTGGCGTACAGCACACTGCTCAATGGCAGTGGCGTACAGCACACTGCTCAATGGCAGTGGCGTACAGCACACTGCTCAATGGCAGTGGTGTACAGCACACTGTTCAATGGCAGTGGTGTACAGCACACTGTTCAATGGCAGTGGTGTACAGTACACTGTTCAATGGCAGTGGTGTACAGCACACTGTTCAATGGCAGTGGTGTACAGTACACTGTTCAATGGCAGTGGTGTACTGTTCAATGGCAGTGGTGTACAGTACACTGGGCAGTGGTGTACAGCACACTGCTCAATGGCAGTGGTGTACAGCACACTGTTCAATGGCAGTGGTGTACAGCACACTGTTCAATGGCAGTGGCGTACAGTACACTGTTCAATGGCAGTGGTGTACAGTACACTGTTCAATGGCAGTGGTGTACAGTACACTGTTCAATGGCAGTGGTGTACAGTACACTGTTCAATGGCAGTGGTGTACAGTACATTGTTCAATGGCAGTGGCAGTGGTGTACAGTACATTGTTCAATGGCAGTGGTGTACAGTACATTGTTCAATGGCAGTGGTGTACAGTACATTGTTCAATGGCAGTGGTGTACAGTACATTGTTCAATGGCAGTGGTGTACAGTACATTGTTCAATGGCAGTGGTGTACAGTACATTGTTCAATGGCAGTGGTGTACAGTTGTTCAATGGCAGTGGTGTACAGTACATTGTTCAATGGCAGTGGTGTACAGTACATTGTTCAATGGCAGTGGTGTACAGTACATTGTTCAATGGCAGTGGTGTACAGTACATTGTTCAATGGCAGTGGTGTACAGTACATTGTTCAATGGCAGTGGTGTACAGTACATTGTTCAATGGCAGTGGTGTACAGTACATTGTTCAATGGCAGTGGTGTACAGTACATTGTTCAATGGCAGTGGTGTACAGTACATTGTTCAATGGCAGTGGTGTACAGTACATTGTTCAATGGCAGTGGTGTACAGTACATTGTTCAATGGTGGTGTTGTACAGTACATTGTTCAATAGTAGTGGTGTACAGTACATTGTTCAATAGTAGTGGTGTACAGTACATTGTTCAATAGTAGTGGTGTACAGTACATTGTTCAATAGTAGTGGTGTACAGTACATTGTTCAATAGTAGTGGTGTACAGTACATTGTTCAATAGTAGTGGTGTACAGTACATTGTTCAATAGCCGTGGTGTACAGTACATTATTCAATAGTGGTTATTGGTCAACTCGTCTTCACTATCTACCTTTAATTTCTCACTACACCTGCACCATATACCTACACCACACCAGCACTACCTGCAGCACACCGTATACCTGCACCATACACCTATATGACACGCATCCATTAGCCCCAATTAGCACATTTAAATCAAGATGTAAGGTAATAAAACCAAGACGCATCTACAGCTAAAATATACACCAAATATCGTTAAATACGTCAACATAAACACTTACAATATTGAATATACTATATTAAACATTCCTTCACAATTAACACATACCGTATAAGAAACGTGGAGTATAGCGTAGAGCTCAGAGTGACAGCCCCAATCGTGTGACTCCCGGAGGTAACTGAGTGTAAGTGATGATGGCAACGTTGTCTGGACCCTCCTCCCTCCCTCACACCACCTCGTCCGAATGATTAACTATAATACAAACTTTATCATTTACAAATTTTAATATACATTTTTGGTCAATTAAGTAATTTATTAATATAGAAATATTAAAAAATAAGAAGAAATTTACGTAAGAAATTAAATATAAAGACGAATAGTCAAGCTTAAATGCCAACAGTGGTTCGGAGAGAAGCCAACTGTACCGATCTGTCCACTCAACATGGCTGCCAACATTATCTGTAAACAATACATAATTAAATCCTAAAATAATCCTCAAATTTTAATAATTTTAATACTATTTCATTAAAATTTATTTAATATTAATATAATAATTTTAAAAATCAATAAATATTTAACTTGGGGAAACTTTACGGGGGATAAATACGGACGGATTACTTACCGATTACGATAATGAGGCAATTGGCTTGTTTACGTTCATTAGTAATAGATAGATATATACATACTTGTGTATTTTCTACTTGTGCTCAGCAATTCATCTTGCCAAGCACAACTTATGTTTTAGGAAATAGAAGAAGCATCTCCTGAAAGTTTCTTTATTATGTCCCAAGTCAAAACACAGACATTTTTGGACTTAACAATTTTTTTGACCTTGCCCCGAAAAGTGAGCAGTCATCTCATGGACATAAGCTACAGCAGCCTGGATAGGTTTAGCTCAAAATCTGGGCAGCAACTTGACCGGAACTGGGAATACATTGAACATTGTTGGGTTTTCCTTAGCAAGTTACTTTTTGATTGTCTGTAGATCTAAGATAATGGTGTTGTGAAGTGAAATAGACTGGCCAAAATACTCATAGTAGACTTTGCAGTTCAAGTGGTTTATTTTAAACTTAGATATCCAAATCACACTTGGCAAAATCCAAAGAATATTTTAGCTAGTGAAAATTTCACTCTTCAAAAAACACCATTATCTTAGACTTAGAATAAAAAAGTAACTCACCAAGGAAAAACCAACAATGCTCAATGTGTAGCCAATTCCACCTTGCTCAAGTTGCATCCTGAACCTGAAAACAAAATGGCAAATAAATTTCTGTACACTAGAAAACTTTACAGTACCTTTTACTTACTTTTATCCTCTTCACCACTCATCGGCTCGTTAGCCGCTTGGGCGATCGGTCACGTCTCTTAATTTTCTCATTCTTTTATCCTCTTCACCAAATGATCGGCTTGTTAGCTGCTTGGGCGATCGGTCGCGTCTCTGTTACGCACTGTTGGCAAGTACTGGGCATGCACCGGCTCCTGAATGTTCCTGGACCTGCCCCAGTGTTGGTCAAGTCTGGTCTTGAAAGAGCTCACACTTGGGGCCGTCAAAACACTTTCTGGTAGATTGTTCCAAGAGTTCACAACTCTCACTCCGAAAAAGTTGGCCCGTACAGTTTTCTGGACTTGCGGCTTCTTCAATCTTGAGCTGTGACCCCTTGTGGGGCGAGCGTCCGCCAGCTCCAAGTAAGGACAATCGACTGAGTAGTGCCCCTCGAGATGCTTATACACCTCAATTAGGTCGCCCCTTGCCCGTCTGTAGTATAAGCTAAGCAAGTTCAGGCACTCCAATCTCTCAGGGTAGTTGAGGTGCCGAAGTGCAGGCATTTTCAACCAACTTTTTACTTACCTTTTTTTTTTTTACTTTTATCCTCTTCACTGATCGGCTCGTTAGACGCTTGGGCAATCGGCCACGTCTCTGTTACGCACTGTTGGCAAGTGCTTAGAGTATGGTAGATTTCTGCTCCGTACAAAGTGCATCATCCTTGTAACGCCTGGATGACAAATTATTGTGAAGTCTGCAGATCATCTGTAGCAGATACCGAACTGCACATGCGTGAGAACGTATCCACGACGGCATTTGCTTTGCTAGGACGATAGAGAACGTCGAAACTGAAGCATGATAGGTCAATTTGCCATCTAGTGATCTCATTCTTGGCTTTGCTTGAACTTTTGGGGTTGAACATGAAGGCGACTGACCTCTGATCCGTGATCAACCGAAATGCTGCTCAATTAAGTAGTGTCTCCATTTTCTCAATGACTCCACTGTGGCGTAGACCTCCTTTTCGACAGAAGAGAGCTTGTGCTCCGAAGCTGTGAGTGTCCTGAGAAGAAAGCCACAGGTCGACCCAGACTGACTCAAGGCAGAAACCTTACTCGTTTAGCAACATGTGATCTCGCAATCTTCAATTCCAACTATAGCCTAATAATTGTAATATTCCTTTTAGCTTATGTGACCACCTTGTCGACCTCAATAAGCGAATGATCCCGATTCCAAGACAGCCGCTCAAACGGCAACGAAACGGACCAGGTGCAAGGTCATCGTGCAAGCCTTTGGGGTATCTGCTACTCAAAACTTGGTTAGGAAACTACAAATAAATTTAATGTAATTACTGACGAAAGTACCGACTGTTCAGTAAGTAAACCACGTACAGTGATAGTGAAGTATTTTGATCCGGAGAGATAACAAAATCGCGATGCTGGATTTGATTGGCTTATTTGACGGTAATCAGGGTTCGACTGGTGAAAATATATAACATGCTATTACAGTGCCTCACTACACATGATATACCATTGAACAACTTCACTGGGTCTGCTGCAGATGGTGCATCAAACTTTATGGGCGAATATAACTGTGTAACTATCAGAATGAAAGTTCAAATGCCTGGCATTACCATATTTAAACGTGTTGCACATAGTATGCATTTCTGTGCCACCGAAGCAGCGAAGACCTTGCCACGTACCCGTGAAGATGTGTTGAGAAATGTGTACATTTACCTTTCCCATAGTGCCAAAAGGAAATGCGAGTTTAGAAATTCCAGGGTTTTGTCAACTCAAACCACACAAATATTTCATGCCTGTGCCTCAAGGTGGTTGTCACTCCAGAAAGCCGTTGCAAGAATGCTCCAACAGTAGCAAATCCCCTAAACTGTATTTCCATAGCAGGGTAATTGAGGAGAGACTTGTGTTCTGCTACTTGAATTTTGAATTACATATTGTCGCAACTGAACACCATAAACTTGATTTTTCAGAGTAAAGCCCCAACTTTGCATTTAATCCGTAAAATCATGTCAACTGCATAGATTATTGCTAAACTCCTTTCGCCATTTACATAGTGTGTCAAACTCCAAATGCATGGTATTGATCCAAACAAACCCTCATCCTATTTTCATTTTTACCACAAATGGGTACCGTACCTGGGAATCGCCAACAATTAAGGTTTTCATACTTACCTTGCCAGCCCTGTCCCCGGCTATGCTAACGTCCAATTCGTCTATCAAAGGACTAAAAGAGTTTTTACACTAAGCTGTTGGCGTTTCCTTGGTGTCTTTTCTCACTACCATTTTGGTCTTTCTCGTAAAACTGGTAATAAACTTAAAATAATCGTAGGATCACAAATGACGAACAACCTCCACCACGCCCAGTGTGAGACTGATCTGATCTATGAAATTACCCAAGCTGCTTCCTTTGAAACAAAAAATCAAATGTGATTAGTAAAAAAAAAATCGCGTGAAGATATCGATACCCTCATTGGTCACGACTGGATGACGCCAGTCAACATTGCCCATGCATGATGCGCCGATGACATCATCTCACAGACGAAGACTGAAAACTACTTCAAATCAATTAAATTCAATTCTGTCGCTATTATCCATTTCCGCCAGTAGTTTATAACTTTCGGGGGCGCTATGTCCGAACGTAAAATAATACCTAGTTGTCAATTAATTAACAGCAAGTTAGGCTCTCAAGTGATATTCAACCAAATACCAGTGTAACTAAATTAACATGATGCAAGTCCCACCAAGGTAGGTATAGATAGATACCTACTTTGAGTTCCACTGCCAAATGGACATCAGTAAACATTGCTGATTTCGCTTTTAATATAAACACAAACACATTTCTCCACTACAATGTACGGACTGAAACACACTACAGACTTCACTACTGGGAAAGAGGATAATTCGTTTAAGCGAGAATATCACAATTATGCTTCAGCCATATATTCTTTCACTCTACTTTTATAGCTGCTTTTGTCTAGCTTATATATGTGGTTAAAATTTTTAGATACGCAAACTACTTTTGTAGTAACACTAATGTCTAGCCAGGGTCTGCAAGTTTGAAACCGAGAAATCCTCACCTTGAGGGCTGGGCCTAATTCTGTTATTAATTTATCCCAGCATAGTCATTAAAAAGCATCAGATAAATAACTCGTATGCTTAGTATGCCGGAGGTGCATTAGTATATAGTCTTCCCAGTGGATTTTGGCTCTCCATTTTGAGAATTCTAGCTCAGGAACACGCCAACTTATGCTTTTTAGACAAAAACTCATAAACATATAAAAAGTTTTATATATTATCTGAAATGTACTTACTTGATTAGTAACAGTTTGTAGAATGAGAAGTCTCCAAAAGCTGAATAGGTATGTCCCTTGGCGGCAGCCACAGCACAAGTATTGAAAAGTTAAAAATAGTAACAATAAAAACAGGTTTTTAAAATAGGTTTTTTCTTAGTTCATTATAAGGAACCAATGAGACAAAGACGAGCTACTTCCCATCCCTTCAAATTCCAATACAACATTTAGTTCGTCTTACTTCCACACCTCTCCATCGAGCGCTGCACTCAGTGCCTAAGATAAAGATCTCTATCTACGGCTGACTGCAGTTGGGACTCAAATTTTTCATAACTAGGATTGTCAATATGACAACTTCCATGTGAGGGATGTTTACTATTATGGTCCCAAGAGTCTTGCCTTTTCCTTATTAAATATTAATACCCCTGTATAGGTTTTACTGCCCTCTTATAGGACATGAGATGCAGTAGGGAGAAGGAAAGAGACGAGGGTTTTACTTTGAAGCTTCAGCGCCAAGTCCATTAACTACTCGATAAGAGAATGAGACGTGGTGGCCAGATGTGGGTTTTAGCTATAGGATGACAGTGTGTGAGGACAGTGAGCACACGAGGTAGTCTGGTTACGTGTCCGGCGACGACTTCTAACCAATATCGAGCAACTGTGTGTCAGTGACCCAGCTACGGAGTTTAGTGTACGGTACGGTGATGACTCGTCCAAAATCGTCTGCTACTGTTCTTACGTGTCATAACAGATCCGTCACAAGCGAGTTTGAGCAATTGTATTCAGCCAACTTGAGAAGTTCACTTGATTGCTAGTATGAGAAATGAATTAAAATACGAGGTATGATGATTACTGTTTGTGTTTGGTATTTACAACAGATAGTGGGACATGTATTTCCAGGTATGAACGAATAAAACAGTCGTGTAAAACTGGACGAAACTCATTCAAAACCCAACCTCAACCCAGTCAGGCCGTGAGCCATTGCAATGGGCATGCTTGGGTGTCTGGCCTAGGACATTAACAAAAATAATTATCTGGTGCGATCCAAAATGGCAATACATGTACTTTGGGGAAACATTGGGAATATAACCAGATTAAATTGACCGTACACTTGCTACAGAAACTATCTGCAAGGCAGGGTCCGATAGATGTAAAAATGAACGCTAGGACTCCTGCTGTCTCTAGCAAAAATTCTGCAATATTTTTGGTAGTGTACCTCCATAGGAGTATTTTGGGAGCTTTGTAGTAAAAGAAATATCAGGGGGCATTATGGTAATGTACTTCAATTCGGTGTGCTCAGTCAGTTAGAATTTGGCAAGGTTTACTTGTTGCCATTAGTTTTCTTATTTTTCTTGCAAAACAATCTTCCATAGCTTGTTTGCATCTCAAGCTCTCGAAATATTTTTGTAACCCGAATTACTCACCCGGATATAAAGGTAATGATATAAGCCAATATCAAAGAGAAAGTATTTTCTTCAAGCAGCTAGGAGTACCCCTCACATTTGGTCAAACTATTGAAAACTTTTTTACTTTACCTTCTTCAAATATCACTATTGATACTCAACACATTAAGGAACTGGGGTAATAAGACAAAAACAAGTGGGGGGTCGATTTCTGATCGAGTTATTGCTTATCTTAATGAGTAAGAATAATTCAATTCGCTTTGCAACTCTAATTATTTGCCTTCTGTAATTATTTTGTTGATTTTTGGTGGTGATGTGGATGTTGCAAATTAAATAGGCTAGTATTAAATTGTAAAAGAAAGGGAGTTTCAACCAAGATATAATCTGCCATTATGGCAGACTGATAAAAAGATCTTGGATTAAAAGGTTGGAAAATTTCTAAGTTTTCCAATCCTAGTTACTCACCAACCCACTTTTTTAAAGCGGGAACTGGACAAATATGTGTGGGACTTCCAAGCACCCTCTTAGCCAGGAGGCAGGATTGCAGCTCCCCAAGATAATCTCTGCCTATTGTGCTTTGTTTCTTTTCCTTCCAAATCCCCCCTAGCTCAGTGGCAGATATGAATTATATACTTCTCAGTCCATGTAAATACATCACCTCACATGTGTATAAAAACTTGTACAGTGTATATAATAAATGCACGTATTTTACATTTTTTGAGAATAGGGAAAGAGAAATACAATCTTGGCATCATTTTTCCTATTCAAATTGTGATCTGTTTACATATTGACAGTACAAAAAAGTAGTAGAGTTGCGTCCTCCTGGTGAGGCGGGGTGAGGGGCAGTCTTCAGGGCGTTGCTCACCCCTCGCGCACTACACGCCTACATCAATGTACATTTCTACATCCGCCCACACTTTACAAGCAAATAAATTATTCTCTCTTCTTTTAAGTTTTAATTTTAATAAAAGAAAGGTCAATGGCAACAATATGCCTATCACTTGTGTTTTGTAATTTTTCCTTTTCAAATAAAACACAGACTTCAGTAATAAACAAATATAACAACATGACATGTGAGAAACACACTACAAGTAACATCCATCCCTCAAGACTACTCACATTTACACCAACAATGAGATCAATGTACAAAATGAATTGACATGGTTTAAGGTCAGCAGGGAGCGAGGTGGGGGAGAAGAGAGGTGGCAGCAGCAGCAGCTTAGGTGGAGGGTCGTTGTGGAGCTGATCACTGTCACTACTGCACAGCCAATACTCCCCCCCCTGGTCTTGAGCTCCCTGCTCCACCATCACTACCAATGTTATAGCTGGGCAAAGTCCCACCCATATATGGATGTAATCAAGGCCTCAGCCTGTGTGTTAATAGATGAGGCCTGGGTATTATGTATACTGGTATGTTGTGTGTGTGCAACAGACAGATACAGAGATTACTACAGAGATACAATTCAAGTTATGGATAAAAAGAAAGAGCATGGAAGGGGGGGGGAGGGGGGAGCAGTTGCCTGGCCACAACAGGGTTCCCAGCCTGTTAGCACGGAGGCTCTCAACTACACCACTTGTTGCATTTGGCTTCCCAGCTGGAGTTATCAACACCTAACACCAGTAATCAGAGTGCACATCCTAAGTTGTGTGGACACACTCAAGTCAAGTGGGGAGCCAAAATTGGCCCAAAACTTTTAACGTGCACACCATCTTGCGCACTCTATGTCACATCACTGGTTTAAGTACACCGTGGATACATAGAGATTAATGTGGGCCCTTAACAATAAGGTCCATTGTGATTAGTACATCATATAGGATTAATAAATAATTACACCATTTCTACTTACATTACTTGTCTTTGTTAATAAACACCAAAATGAACTGGACTTTTTTGTGTTCCATACAAATCATGACATCTTCCTTACAAATGAAAAGTGGAATTGATTATTTGCACTCAAAATAGGAAACATTTCGTATAAAAACAAAAGTTTTGAGACCACTGAAACGTTCGTTCACTGCAACGTCAGTTCGATTACAGCACAACGCATTACCGCATTTGGAGTCACTTTCTCATTTCACGGTTATATATATTCCATAATTCCCAAGAGTTGCAAAGAAAAACACTTAACACTTTCAAGAGCACAGAATCACGATTTCATTGAAACAAAGTTCTAGTCACTTGAGCTAATTTCATGAATCTGACTCCTTCTTCACTTTTATGTCCGTATCTTCCTCAGGCTCATTCTTGATTTGTAATTCCTTGCTGGCAGCCATAAGGCAGGCCATAGAGTCCTTCATATCATGATAAATGATATTCTTAATCTGGAGTTTATCCTCATGGTTGGTATGGGTATCACTAAGGTGGCGGAATTCTTGTGTTAAGTGGAAGCAGTAAGAAATGTTCTCTGGCGAGACGAAGTCCTCTGCCACTTTGACACAATTGTGCAGATTACGAACCTGAAAAGAAAGAATGTACATTACATTTCAGTGTCATGTATGCATTGTTAATCTGCTATTTGAAAGTAATTTAAGAATACAGTATTGTACTGTTTAATTCACTACTTCAGAAAAGGTTATGATTTGACAACGGTATCCAACTGCACTGGCTAACTATTACACCGGTACAAGATTCACAAATTGATTAACGTCTAGGTCTCCAAGTACTGCTGGGTAAACAGAGGCAAATGACAAGAAACTTGTCCATAGTTTTACCATGCCTGCGGATCAAGCCCGGGTTCCCTCACCTGCAAGGCACGCATGCCAACTTGCACACATACAGTGGTGCAGTCAGGTTGATCTTTTAATTATGTTTAATATCAGGACAGAAACTTAAGACAAAAACTTGAAAGTTAAATCATTAGAAATAGAATATTTTGCCTTGAATTAGTGAGAATGACAGAAAATGTAGAAAAATATAAGTATTAGCTAGTGTAAGTGATAGCATAGTTTTCCCCACTTGCTCCAGCAAGTTATCCGGGCAACTGGTATATTCAACTGACCGGCACTAAAATGTAATAATAATAAAAATTCCTCCAAAATCAGCTAGTATCCTATGTTTAAATACCGTGCTCAACAGGGATGAGCTGCCATATTTATTGTTATAAGAAACAATAAAATCGATACACAGCATTACATAAAATACAATAGTACAGTACACATATTTTATGTACCTTGAAAAAAAAAAAAAAAAAATCCATCCACACTCAAACAATTTCAACCAAGCAGTCAACCAACTGACTTGCAGACATGTGGCTGCTGCTCTACACTGTGTATGCCATGATATCACAGGATGGAGCGTGGCTACACACTAGTAGCTCATTGCCTCCACACACATGCTCACCATTTTTCTTATTTTATAGTTTTATATTACCGGACATTTTCTTTATTTATAAGCCACATTAGAGTATTACAATGATTTTTCCACAACTTTTATTACTTCATTACAAGTAACAATTATACTGTAAGAGGCTGGCGAGTCAGCTGTGTAGTTATTAGCCAAGGCCTGAATATAAATGCCTCCACACATTCACTTCTCACACAAATACACCCATGCTCTTAATTTTTCTGGTTTTATATTAAATTTTCTTTATTTCTAAGCCATATTAGAGTATTATTATGACCTTTCAACAACTTTATAGTTTCATTACAAGTAACAATATACGTGGTGGCTGGACGGACAAGTCGGTAATGTAGTCATAGCACACCGCCTACACACACTTCCATTCAGTTCCCATAGAAACCCACGCTCTTCATTTTTCTTATTTGATAAATTTATATTATATTTTCTTTATAAGCCACATTAAAGTACCTGTATTATAATGATTTTTCCAGAACGTTTATAGTTTCATTACAGGTATATGATGCAATCCTAATCTGCATACTGGACCTATCTGCAATATTTTCGTGTTTTAGTTCTAAGATTAGAACACAGACACAGCTAAGTTGATGCTGACCTGCTTTGGTTCAATAAAAATCTTGTACATTATCAACTCTTACTCCAAAAGTCATTTATCCAATTTACCCAAGCACACATTTTAAAAACCCATAACTTGCAAGCAATCAATTTCAAACTAATATAGTACACTGGGTAGTGATACGTACCTGATGTGGAGCTCCTGCTGGAATGAAGACTGCATCACCAAGACACTGGATGATAGCATAGCCTTCAACACCATATTCCTTATAAAGTCTCTCCCGAAGAGGGCCATCGAGGTACCATGCTTGGTCATGGATAGGATCATGGTGAGGTTCCAATTTGTCCCCACGTTCTATGGCCACTTTATTGAGCAAATCACGAATTTTGTCAGAATCACGAGCATGGTAGATGTGCCACAAAGCTCCAGGTACCTCTTCCTTCTCACGTACTCGCCGCCGAGTCAAGATATCGCAACCTGCTTCATCTATGGCCTTTAGAGCTTCTGCGAAGGAAAATGATCAATATTTTTAGTAAACACAAGACATACTGTATATATTTTTACTGTAAGCCCATTGCTTCATGCTTAACAAAATATTTATATACCTGCACTGTACCTCCCCTTCACAATCAAGAATGCACTGGTTACCAAATAGAAATAAATTGTATTAATACTGGATGAGATTCAGAGCTTGAGATTTATTTATAAAATGAATAAACATAAACCATCTTTAAAACAAATACATACCCTTTATATGATCTTCATAATCTGCATCTTTTGGAACTCCCACATAACACATAACATTAACAGCATCAGATATGTCCAGGTGTAAATTAGTGGAAGCTCTATTAGGATGCATGGCTGATCCATATGCAATATACATTTTGGGTCCAAGATCTGGTCGGACAAAGCAATCTGGAAGGCGGCCCGCAAGATTAAGACGCCCATTTCTTCTTGTATATTCTCCCATTGGTAGGACATTCATTAGATCTTCAAACCGCGAAGGCAACATCTCTGCAAAATCATCTCCTGGAGGCCAGTCTTTGAGTTTCAGTACCATAGGCTGACCCTTTTCATCCTTAAGTCGTTTTCCATAGTTCTCAAAACCATCCCAAAACTTTTTCATTGGCTGATTGGGCACTATATTTCCAGTGAGACAATTTATCAAATCATTTTTAATATCTCCATAGTCTTTAGAAAAGGACTGAGGTGTCCAGAGATCAGGATTGAGCTTTAGTCCTACACCTGATATAACAACAGGCTGACCACGTTTCCACTGGTCCTGAAAGAGTGGAGTGTTGCCAGGTGCTAGGGGTTCTAGCAACCTCAAGAGTTTCCCATCACACAACCAAGAATGGGCCACACCCGGGTATAACAAGCTGCTTTCAGTCTTGGTCATAATCCTGATTGGCAGTGGATCACGACCACGGGGGCCGTAGTTGTACCTAGAAAATATACACATTAAATGTTAAAAATCTATCATCATTAGCTTTGATGTATTTGATAATCCACCTCTGACTTATTTAGTGGAAAAATTTTACACAGAGAATGGGACTCCTTGGCACAGCAGAATGAACGACTCAATGGAAATTATGGTGTTAATGGCCTTAAGTAGAATGACATGCTACTAAAGGGTATACTTGGCTTGAGAATATATTGGTAATACTAGATGGCTGCTAAAGGGTGTACTTGACTGAAGAATATATGGGTAATACGAGATGGCTCCTAAAGGGTGTACTTGACTTAAGAATATATGGGTAATACGAGATGGCTCCTAAAGGGTGTACTTGACTTAAGAATATACTGTATGGATAATACGAGATGGCTGCGAAAGGGTGTGCTTGGCTTGAGAATAGAAGGGTAAAACTAGATGGATATTCAAAGTTTTGACGTTTTTAAAGTGTGTACTACAGGTTTACGTATCTACTATAGCAGTGAGAATGAGTCATGATGAAAACTGAAGGGAGGCTGTGCAGTATGAAAAGATCAAATGTTCACATTTTATTTTGACTTTTGGGAAACTAAGTGGGAATATGAGAAACTGAAGTGTAGTCATTTACTGCAGTATGTGCACCATGTAAAGAATGTGTGTGTGTATGTGTGCTTGCTTGTAAGGGATGAACTGATAAAACATGTAATGTCTTGTATGAATTCCCCATGAACTTACTTTCTAATGAAATGTTTGAGCACCATCTGGTTGTTGTCCTTCACATCATCCTTGTCAGAATTGTGCTCTATTACACAGGAAATCACTTCATCCACTGTGTCCAATTTGGGTTTCTTTTTACTATTCTCCTTGCTGGGTTTTGTGCTGCTTCCCGTTTCTTCCTTCGTGCTACCATTAGGTTGGATTAACAGCTTCCGTAATGTAGAAAAGTTGCCCTCTTTCTCATCGGAATCCGAGTCCGAGTCAGAATCAGAACTCTGGAAACAAAAGTACTTCATTAATTATGTAACAATCAGTGTAAGTAAGCAAGGGTGAATATCAAGTGGTCCAACAGCTTTGTGTAGTGTAGCAAAGTACCTATAACAAGGGTGGGCTTGGGCTTTAGAATTTTTCTCCAGATCAATTGGTAAGAGGCATACCCTTAGGACTATAACATGGATAAACTCCCCAATTTTGCAAAGTATACAAAGCTGAAATATCTGCAAACAGGCTAGACCCCTAGTGGACACGCCTATATTCCAAACAGATAAATGAAGCAACTGTATATGTACAATGTACCCAAAAGAATAACTAGCATCAAAATTTCACTCCCCACCTACTGACTGTTCACTCCTGAAGCCTGCGGTCAGTTTGTAGCAAGGGCAGCTGGTTGGATGGCAAACAAGACACCCAAAGAATCACTACAGTTCTTTAGTATTTAATAGATTGTATTTATATTTTAATGTATAATAACTGGTGTGTGTTGATCTCTGGTAATTTCCACACCTGTGGAAGAAAAAACTAACATGTGAAACTCTGGTAACAAATATCTTGGAGGCAATACATAAAAAATCAGCGATATCCTCCATCCCACTATGTGATAGCATGAGACAAGGAGTTTACGTCCCAGAATTTGTTTATCATGTCTGTGTTTTCTCTGATATTTCTATCACCAAAGAGTTTCACATGCAAATTTATGCTTCCCCAATTGCAGAAATTATCAGAAATCTATTAATACGATAGTTTAAACTTTTAAGAACATTTAAAGCCTCAGTTGCAAACTACAAATGAACAGACTATAGTTGCATAGAGGATCAGCCCAATAATCATCATTTTACAGGTTGCCTTCCATAACGTACTTGGTCATTGATGTAGACAGTGGTGGGCACAGCTAAACGAAAAGTTAGCTTTGCTAACCGATAATTTGTTAACTAAAAAGTTAACTTCGCTAATGCTAAACAGCTAAAAAAATAAGTAAAGCTAACGCTAACTTTTATTATATGAATTTAGCTTTTTTTGGGGGGGTGGGGGGCTGTAAAACCCTTAAAAACAGATCTAGAGCTGAAATTTTCATATGTTGTCTTGTAGCTTAGACATAGAGCTTTCCAAAAAAGTTATAGCATGCCAAGATCAGATGATGATCAAGGTGTACACAAATAATTAAATGAACAAATTAAATTAAACATTAGTTTACATTCAAGTTTCAACATACATTTTATAATCTTTATTTACTGTACGAAAAGACAAAGTATTAAACGAATCCAAAAACTATAGTACAGGTACTGTATAACATAGGTAGCAAATAGCATCATGCCAAGATCAGATGATGATCACCTTATCAAGGTGTACACTGTACACAATTTCACAAATAATTGATTTGCATTCTCATACAACCTAGCTCCTCCTCAACTTACGACCACCCGCACTTTCGACCTGCCACAGTCGTACCAAAATTTTTAAAAATTACATATTTTCGAGTCACAACATCAGTACACAGACAAAATTTTCGTTTGTAATTCACTTTAAAATGGCTGGCAAGCTTTAAAGTGAGAGTTTTGTGGTGCTGAGAAGAAAAAGAGACACGAATTTTAGATTTTCGATGTATTATTTAAGCATTTTCGACTTACGACGTGGATTTGGGTCCCTAACCCTGTCGTAAGTTGGGGAGGAGCTGTATATATATATATATGGCTTTTCATCAGGTTTAATATAAACTGCCAATACGTATGAAAAGTTTCACACTAAAAACAGTGATGCTTAACTTATAAAATCTTGCATCTTCAATCCAGACAGAAGCAACAGTAAGAAGTCACCAGCAATGTTTACCATTAGTCCTTCCCCGATGACCTCACCATCACATTTCTATGTGACATCACCGCTTCTAATGCCCTCGCCACCTTCCTTACCCAGCCCTTCACCCTTAATCTTGTGTCAGTGTCTGTGATAGGAAAGGATTTTTGCCACTTCAAATGTAGAGCCACTCAGCTTGACAGTTCCTTTGAATTTTGACACAAACCTACCCAGACCAAAATGCTTCACATAGCACCTGAAGTAGATTACCTGCACCTGACAAAGTTAACTAATCCTGGTACACAAATGACAAGTAAACTATCTAGGAATTATACCAATAGCCACGGATGTGTGACATTTTCAAATTAAACACAATGGGAAATAATTTTAAGTGTAATTAATTAGTTACAAAATAAAATAGTGCGATCAATTTTGATTACTTTAACAAACCCCCCCATTTCACTAAAGATACTATTAAATTGCCACTGTTAACAGGCATTGCCCTTTTTGTTCCATGTGATCTTTTTTCCTCCAACTTTTACATTTGGAAAAGGGGACAAGCATCTCAATGGAAATATATACTGTAGTTCATATGCTCATAGCCGTTATATTTTAGTGTATTTTGTTCCAAGTCTTTTGATGAGTAAGATAGTAATTTTAGAAACAGTTTGTTTTAATTTATTATCAAGGGTAACAGGTCAACAGAGCTTTGTTGTCGTCCTCATTGCTACCATGTGGTCGCCTAGAAGCTCCACCCATATCTACATCCAGTAATGTCAATGACAAACTGTGCTATACAGTACTGACCTCCAGTTCATGCTCTATTCTTATCCATTCACAGGAAAAATGGATGCAAAAACATAAAAGTTTACAGTACCTTTAATTTTATGGCCTACTGTATAGTAGTGTTATCTTTGGTTGAATAACCTGAACATATTTGTATGCAACTAGTTTTACAGTTTCAAGCGGAATGACTTCAAACATGGCCTTCACATCACGTGCAGATGGATGTTATGTTTCAATAAACATCAATAACAGAAATCTAAATGCAATGCAGATATTTTAACAAACCTTCGCAAGGACGTATCATTATTAAACAAGTAGTATTTTCCAAATTCAAGTCTGTTGAATATCAAAACTGATTCTGGAGTGTAATGCTTGAGTAGATGCAGGAATTTTGAGGAAACTTCATGTGAATATGTTATCACCGGGCAACGCATAAACACTAAAGACAAATGCTTATCACAGGTCAAGGTCAGTGCTGATGGTTAGGTCAAAACAATCCCAATAGAAACTTAGTATCAACGCAGATTTTTTCAAGAAACTTTACAGTAAGCATGAACACTAAGTATAGTGTACAACTTTAACTCTCCCTAACACTAATCAAGGTCAAACCCATTTAGAGAGTAACCCTTGAGTCACCATCTTCATTAAGTTTTCCACGAAAATGTCTCATTATCTGACAATGTGTAATTTATTTTTTGTTTGGTTAATGTCACTGGCGAAGGTCATAGATTAAAACCTTGTCCAAAGCATAACTCATGTATCCAGACTCGGAATTTGAGATGAATACTAAATTCATGTCTCTAGTTTAGTATATTAAAGTACTTTTAAGAAAATACAGGTACTGTACAAGTGCATTTACACTTTCCCTTTAACATGGATTTTCAAATTTACTTTAACAATTCCTCAGAAAATATGCAACATTAATGAGTGACTGATATTATTCATGTAAACCTTTTTCAACTCCATTCCTACCTTCCAATGGAAAAAACGGTTTTATTTGAAAACTTGCACTTTCTGAGAACAGTAAGATTTTTAAGAGCCTACCCATTATATGCAGATGACAATATTGTGTGGGTGCTACAGTTCAGCAGACACATATAAACATAAATTAACATGTATGCCTTTAGGGGTATTATCGATTTCTTCATTAAAATCAGACAATTGATGCCATCAAGAGTTATATACATACACAATACAACAAAATCATCCCTTTTTTCCCAATTCATATCAAAATAACCCCAAAAGGCCCCATGAAACTCTCAAGGCCCCAATAAAACTAGAAACTCTTGCATTACTAAACAAATGCAAAAGTAAAAATCCAACTCCAACTTCTGATATTTTGTCGCGAGACAAAAATCTGTTACTCACCTCACTCTCACGTTTGTCATTGGACAAAGCAACATCAGCGAAGAAGTTTAGAGGAGAATTGGACATCTCTTCATCTTTACCATTGACCTTCTCTGTCTTCTCTTGCTTTACTGTTCCATTAACCATTTCTGTCTTGGGTTCTTTCTTAATGTTCTTGAGCAGATCTTTGTTAACCCCATTGACTTTCTTCTTGTCATCTTGAGGTGCTTGGTCTTTGTACTTTTTAGCCTCTGCACAGTCACAATACTGAGGAATTCCCCACTGGTGTCGCATCTCATGCACTTTCCTACCCAGATCAAGAAGAGCATTACCAGATATAATCTGAGTAAGCATAAGTTTATCCTGCTCATGAGGAAGTCTAGAAGCACACAAGAGCCACGAGTATTCATCACGATCTTTTCCACCTTCATCCCACACCTTGACTGTTCCATTCTTTCGACCTTTGTAGCAGTCTATGCAAACCACAAATCCACATTTGCTACATGCCCAATGAATGTTGAATAATGTGGTTTCACAAACGTCACACATTTCACGAACTCCCAATACTACTCGTTTCCAAGCCACAACAGTATCTGCAAGATTATAATATATTAAGTATTAATGCTGCAAAGGCTGTGAAAAATTTACTTCTGATCATGAGCCCACAACTACCTTTTTTCCCCACTGATACTAATAACTAATTTAAGAATTTTTCCTTATAGCATTTTCCTATTGCCCATCTATTAAAGCTACAATAATAGATTCATTACTAATAACAGTAGTAAAAATAAAGTAAATAATAATAAAGTTCCATACTTAATGTATACCTAAGGGAACAAATACGACATGAATCATTAAAAAAAAAAGGCTAAGAAAACAGGTTTCAAAGATTATCAAATTTTAAAAGTGAAGCTGTAACTTACCAAATAATACTGTCTATTTACAGAATAGGTAGCCCTAGTTGAACCCAAAACTTGGGATAAGTTTCCTCAACTACTGTACAATGATGTTAATTATACTGTACTAGCAAACACATTAATAAAATTTTAAGTACAGCTCCTCCTCAACTTAAGACCACCTGCACTTACGAACTGCCTCAGTCGTACCAAAATGTTGTCAAATTACGTATTTTCGAGTCCCAACGCCAGTGATTGCACTGTGTACTGACAAAATTTTCGTTTGTAATTCATTTTAAAATGGTTGGCAAGGTTTAAAAGTGAGAGTTTTGTGGTGCTGAAAATAAAAAGAAACACCCATTTTAGATTTTCTAAGGATTTTTAAGCATTTTTGACTTACGACCGTTTCGACTTTCGACCTGGATTTGGGTCCCTAACCCCGTCGTAGGTCGGGGAGGAGCTGTAATTTTTTTTACTGTTATTGTCATACATAGTTTCATATAATAAATATTATAATAATATTATGGTAATAATAATAATAATGGAGTAAAATTATGGAAAGAACAAAAGATAAGATATAGCTAACAATTCAGTGATTTTCTAATACTGTATTTGGAAAGGTGACAATATTTAACACATCCCATCTGCAGTACAAATTACTAACAATTATGTGAGCACTTTACATGTCAGAAGCTAATACAGTATTTATTTTATATTTAATATTTGTTTTCTATATACCACCAAAAGGCCTGAAAATACTGTGCATGTTATAAGAACTTACCATCACCCATATGGAGAGCCATCGCTTCCTTTTCCTGCTCCACCAAGTCACAAAACTGGTCACCAACATGGGTCAACAGGAACTTGCTTGTGTCAACGTCCAGATCATTCGGAGGATTTTCAACGTCTGGCACCCAAAGTTTGAGGTCATCTCCATAGGCATCCTTAATGGGGTCAGAAAAGCCAGCAACAGCCAGCTGCCCATTTTTGGTGTAGCGAAGGCGACGGAAGGCATAAAAACGACAAAAGTGGTTGGGCATCTTCTTGTTTCTCTGGTGGGCGGTCCAACGACATTCACGGCATTTCGGTAGTTTGGGAGCCACCTCATAACATGACCCATCTTGCGAGAAGCTCTCCCCTGTTTTCTTTAACTGAGATACGGGAGGTTTCTGCAGAGGGTCATTTTGTGGGGGCTCCTCTTTGGATTTTTTTGGCTTTGGACCATCTTCCTTTTCTTTTTCTTGTTTCGACTTTGGTTTCCTGCCTCGCTTTTTAGGTTCAGAATCTGGTTTTGTGGGTAAACGTCCAGAATTCTTGGCAGTAGTTTCACTTGCATCACTGTCTTTATCACTGTCACTATTACTGTCACTACCCCTTTTAATCTTTTTTAATTTTCTTTTTCCTTTACCTCGTTTTGGTTTCTGAGTAGTACTTCCTTCAGAGTCTGTTGAACTTGTTTCACCGTCTTTGATATCTTGGCTATGACCATTGGGGATATTATTCACAACTTTTGGCTTACGTACAACAGGCTTGGGTTCAGATTTGACTGTTGTGGTGGTGGTAGAAGTAAGTTTTGAGGGAGCAATTGTAGTATTGGCCGGAGGTGGTGTTGCTACTCTAGTTGAAAGACCTGCCGTGGCAGTGGTAGGGGGAAGAATTTCTGCAGTATTTTCATGTCTCTGAAGCCAGGCCTTTTTAAGCTTGTGCACATATCCACCCACCGGACCAGGACTACTGCTCTTCTCAGGTTCAAGTATCTTGTTTGTTCCCGGAGAAGAAGAATTTTCTGTACGTTGCAACGTTGGGGTGGTGGCAGGAGGTGGTTGGCTGGGCGGACGTGAAGCTGGGCTTGCCACTCGCGACAAATTGGCTACCAAAGCTACAGTGTTCTCAACTGTAGTAATAGTAGTGGCAGCAGTTGGGTACAGAGGACTAGGTTCTGACACCCGGGACAATAATGGTTGATTGTTAGTGGTTTCAAACCTAGCCTTCTTAGGGTCCTGTGGTGTAGGAGTTTGGGTTCTTCTCTTGCTAGGAGAAGCAGTGTCTTCACGAGTGCCTAAGTCAAGAGGTTGTGTTTGTGTTGGTTGTGGAGAAGGATGTGGGGGAATGTGAGGGGTTGCAACATGTGGAGACGTGGCTGGAGGCATTCGTACTGGAGGTGGACCCGGAGCCACTACATGTTTGTGGTGAGGTGAAGGTACTGTGGGCGGATAGATGCGAGCATCATATGGGCCTCGTTCCATGGGAGGCCTCTGTTCATGAGAAGAAATTAGAGACCTGGATTCACTGAGAGATCCTCTCCCTGAATGGGCTGGCGGAGGGCCAGTAACAGGAGCTTTACTGGTAAGGGGAACAGGTTGAGTGGGTCTGGAATCTACACGGCACACAGGAGTACCCGTGGTAATACCAGGTTTTCCATAAACTTGGGGTGGTGGAGAGCTAACCTTAGATTTTGCAGAGACAGAGGATACATGAATTGGATTGGGAACCAGCCCAGCAGCAATAAGATTAGAAGGGTAAGTTGTAGGTGGTGGTCTGGCCCCTGGAGGATAATAACGATCAGGATGTGCTGGTGAAGTAGAATGTGGCGATGACTGAGGCTGCCTAGCTTTGGTCAACTCCACACTATGAGACAAAGAAGTTGAATGGTGCGAGGTATTGCTTCTGTGTAGGGATGAAGATGGATCATGGGATTTGTACGCTGAGCCAGGTGGGTACGGACTAGACCTTTCTGGGGGACGTTTAGGACTTATAGAATGCGGTGGAGCTTTCTCATACTTTACTTCAGGTTGTATGATAACAGAGGCTTTGTCCCTTGGATCATGATATTGCGAGTAGGGAACCCTCTCAGTGTGTTGAAGCTTGGCTTCTTTAGGAAGGTAGTTTGGTGGGTAATTGCCAAGGTTGAAACTTGGTTCAGCAAGCTTTGGTAAGCCTGCAGGTGCTGTGGGCTTTTCCACAGGAGGTTTAATTGAATGAGCTGGTGGTGGGTGTCTTATCTTGACCTGAGCTTCTCTACCTCTATCAGGATCACGAAAAAATCTGTATATGCTTTCATGAACAATCTTTTCAGGTTCTTGAGCACGACGTATAGCTTCCTCCTGCCGTTGCTGCTGCTGTTGCTGCTGCTGTTGCTGCTGCTGCTCCAAAAGTCGGCGTTCATCTATCGCATCCATACGCTCGGGTTTGACCAATCCACCGATTTGATTCCAACCACTCACCTTCTGAAAGCAAATATAAATTTAATACTCATCATCATCATCATTTCATTATATATCTACCAAATCAAAGTGCATGAAAATTATACTAAGACTTTATGAAGTTGAACCAGTTTAATAAAGCAATTCTATACACATCATTATGTCACCATTTAAGGCCATTTTCCACGCTTGCGTGGGTTTGCCATGATAAGCTGATGGTATGGTGTCCTGGTTGCCATTAGGCAAATATGAGGCAAGTTTTGGTATTGGATTCCCTTCCTATCATTATTTGTAAGACTTCCAAGCAACCTCTTAGCTGACAAGGCAGGTTCGCTACTCCCTGAGGTAATAAAAAATTACCTGACTACCCTAACTCATAAGCATACAATATGAATATATACCGCATATTATTTTACTTTCCTTTCAAACCTCTTCCCGCTTTTGGCAGGGTTTATGTAAATGCTATTACAGGACAGAAGTATGAAAATACTCTGCTTATTTAACAGACAAAATGAGTGGTGACCATTGGCAACTCCACAAAATTACAGCCCAACTCATTACTTAGACTATTGTTTTTATAAATCATAGGCAAGATAAGTAAATGCCTTTGATGCCAGTGCAATACATCAATCAATCAGTGATAAGCTTCACAAAATCAAGTCACATTGAAAGCAGTCCCCCACAGCAGACTTTGCAGAGAATATTAATACCATGAATAAGAATCCAGCAAAGGACAAGAGATACTGAAACATCTGCATGTCCCTTCATGCCTCACTGAATGTTTGGATAATAACATTTCATCAATGATCATGCAATGTTTCATGCTACCCATTCACTGGCTACATCACACTTAATGACGTACATTACACTTAGTAACGGATATGACAATTATTAACGTACATTACACTTAATTACAAACCACAAAAAAGAGCAGCATCAAGAGACGACAATGGCGATATTTCTATGAAATTAATGTTACTGGCTGCTGTTAAGATGAGCATTGAGGGGAATTAGAGAGCAATAGTAAGAGTGGTTTTAGATTGTACACATAACAAGACTGAGCAGCCACAGTGGCCGCCCCCACTGCTGTGGGTCGTACCTGGGCATGAGCTTGAGCCTGGTAGGCTTTACTGTGTTGTGTCATGAGGAGGGAGTGGTTGTGAGTTGGGTGGTTGGAGGGATGGTGGTTGGTCAAGCCGTGGACGTAATAGGCCTGGTTGAGGTGGTCGGCTGGCATGTGACGCACGCCCTCTCCACCATGCTACAACAGACCATACACCCCTCATCAGACAAGTCTACCCACCCGCTACAACCTACACCACCACTGTCGCTGGCATACAGTAACTAGCTACATTCGTAACTTGAATTTCACCAGTAGTTGTTACTGGAACTGAAAATAATTTATAAAAAGCAAGGGTCAGGAACTTTCAAAGTCCACTTCCAGGCCCATAAGCGGCATCTGACAGTTCTGAAAACAGGCATGTGTATAAAAACTACGCCGCCTTAATTTAAAATATGGATTACACAAAATCATTATTGTTAATATTGAAAAATATATATATTGTATTATTCTCATGTACATTACAGTATTACTTATTTCCCTCACTTGATACATACTTAGATGGCATATCAAATATCACATTGTATTAATATTCACACGTATTTAAACTGGTTGATAAACTTCACTAATTCTAAATATAAGAAAAATATTAAAAAATAACAATGCAAACTTCAATTACTGCATAGCATTGTTAAGTTCTGTTAGTAAAAACACAGCATAAATAATAACGTATATAAAACCACAAAAATAACTCCCAGCGATTTCCGCAAATATGCATTTCAGATGATATTAAAAATCTCTGGTATTTTCACCGTTTCTATAACTTTCTCCCAAAGTTAATTTGGTTATGTGTGTTATAGATTTTGATATTGAAAATGAGTGGATAAATATTTTGCAAGCCAGTGTTGGTGTACATGTTTCAATACTCTTGTGAACAATGAGGATGATTTGCAGGTAATTATGATTGGGCTGCTAGTGTGGACAAGGCAGTTGGTATGGACAGTGACACTTTATGATAACTAGGATATCAAATTCTACATTGATAACTTGTGCTTATGACCATATTGACGAGTGTCACTATCAGTAACACTGATAGGAAATACCATTATCATAATCAAACAGTGAGAATGTACTCATGAATGCCAAGTAACACACTCAAAGAAAACAAGGACAAATACTGAATTGCCTATCATTCTTCTATACTGTTTAACAATCTCTGACAACCTGTAGCCAGCAAGATTATCAATCATGTCACGTTAAACACTGAATAACCCTATGAACTTGATAAAAAAACATATACTGTAATAATAATAATCTTTTAACCACCTGCAACTGAATAAAGTTGGACATTCCCAAAACACCAAAACTTGTTCAAAAATTTAAGACTCATGAAAATAAATAAACTCCTCACAAACACACACAAGGCAGGAAAAAAATAAAAACATAGTAACCTTCTAAAGCACTTTGTGTGTGTGTGTGAAGAAAAAGGAAAACCTTAAACCCTACATGCCGGAAATCTGAACAAAAAAATTATATATATATATATATATATATATATATATATATATATATATATATATATATATATATATATATATATATATATATATATATATATATATATATATATATATATATATATATATATATATATATATATATATATATACTATATATATATATATATATATATATATATATATATATATATATATATATATATATATATATACACAGTATATATTTATTTATTATCCAGTAACCATGAAAAATTATATTCACCAAATATAATTTCTGAAACTAGAACCATTTCCATTACTGCTAATGTAACTATCGAAAATCACACACAATAATTTTTTACTTACCAATGTAAAACACGTTGCAACCTTAATTTTAACGTTAATGCCTCAACATGACCACCCATTAAAAATATTAAACAAATGCACTTTCAATGTTCTCTTGGTTTAAGAAAGGGTCACAAGTTCAAAAAATCTCACCAACCCCAACTAAGGACATTCCTCTTTGTTTCAATGGATGTGAATTCAAGAAAAAATGAGACAATCAAAGTTGTCTTTCAAACAGGCAAAAGCCCATATATACCTGGACAATGTCTGGATGTATTCATCTCTTGTCTAATTATTTCAATTTAGGACTAAAAGAGATAACTTTGGACAACTAAAAACTCTTCCTGTCACCCCTATCTCTGTGCTAACTGCAAGTTATCAGTTATTACATAATTAAACATCCATATTATTTGACCACACTCCATATTGCCCCAAACTTAAATTATTATAACATACCAAAAATTAAAACTTTCCATAATAACAAAGCAGTCAGTAAGCTTTGTCTATTTTCATATGACATTAATCTCTGCCTCCCTCATTCCAGACAACACAATCCAATACCATTCCCTACTGCAGGCCATAAAGTATACTGTACTGGTACTGTAAAGGTACAACTTTCTTCAAAGTTTAGCTTATTTTCCAACCAATCTGGATTTTTTCTTGTGACACAAATCTAAAATATTATTCCATTAAGCATGATCACCTAATCATCACCTGTAGACCAACTATAGTTTCCTGCCACTGCACTCCTAACCACACATTATCACATGAAAGCAAATCCCTATAATCCAAAATCCTTTCACAGGATCATTCCTCATTGTCATTTGTTCTATTATCCTTATTTTATATCAAACAAATAGGAGTACAAAAGATAAGCTAAGAGCTACAAAAATCTAAAAAGCCTTCAGTTACCAAACTGTGACACAAAGACTCAGAATTCCAGGGTGCTCGAATGCTTTATAAAAATTCAATTTTGTTTTACTCAAATACAGAACTATGATCTCCACTTTCATACACAATCCTTTTATATAATGGACAAACTTCAATGACAATCTGTGGTTCACCTTTTCTAGTTCTAGCCATATTCATTATTAGTTTATCCATAACAAAATAGCAAATAGTGTTATTTCTCCAACCTTATTGATTCAATGGGTGTACAGTAGTACTCCCTAATATCACACCTCACTCTCTTACCAGTGGACGAAGATTATTTGACCTAAAAACAAATGTCAGTATAAAGTCCAGTGCAGTCAACAGACCTAAATCTTCTAATCCTGAGCAAACATCCTAAACAAATGCAAATCTTTGTGTGAAACAAGAAAAAATAAATCCTACGAATACTCCTGACTAGATAACCTGTCAACCTATATTCTTGGTGATCCCCTAACATTTGTCCTCTCGACCAATAACTAATGTTATTACCTTCTGTTGGGCCAGGCGGAATGACTTGTTAAAATGTTGATCCACCTGAAACTGCTGCCGCTCCTTCTCCTCCCTTTCTCGCCGCTCCTTCTCTCTCCTCTCCCTATCTTCCCTCTCTCTCCGCTCCCTCTCTGCCATTCTTTCCCTCTCCATTTTCTCTTTGTTAATCCTCTCCTTTTCGCGGACTTCGGCCTCACGCCTCTCCCTGTAAAAGAAAATGATACATAAGTAGAAATTCCTTGAGTTTCAAATCAACCTTTTAAAGCTCATTAATGAAACAAACCTGCTAACATCTCGCAACCAACGCATAACAATTTGGTATCAAAAGCCCTTAAATATATTTCTGTACATTTTTCCTGCATTACTCTTATACTGTAGTGATGGTCATATAAATAATAATGTATTCTTTATTATGAGTATATATACACTACAGTGCTAAACATCCCCAAATAAAAATCTCTTTAAAAAATCAGTTTGCATAATGCTCAGCCGTAGAGCTTTATACTGCACTGATATTTCTCAAACCTTGATGCTGGTTACAAAAAAGATACACATGGAGCCTAAGTTTGGCAGATGCAAATTTGGAAGAGATTGTTATTTCTGTGACCTATTTATATTTAAATCACCGGTGTGACCTCCCAAAACATTAATACCAAGGCCCAACACAGGATGTTTTCTGTTTACTTAATTTTAAATATGAGCTCCATAAACAATAATAACCCAAGTGTAGTTTTCTAACCCTACTTTCTGTTGAAAGCAAATAAGTAAGCACAAAAATAATGCAACATTCAATATACTGTACTGTACACTCAACAGCAAACTGCCAGTTTTTGGAATTACATTATGTATGTAACCAGCAATTAACTACCAAATTTTATCAACAACACAATGTAAAAACTTATACTGTATAATAAATTAACTCTCCTTGAATATGTAATGAAAGATGGCACAAAAACACTAATAGCATGCCCACTCGTCAACACTTGTGTTTTCTTATATGACATATTGACTTCCCCTGAATTTTAAATAAAATATAAAATCTTCAAGTAATATCAACTTTGATAAGATAACTATCAACCTGCTTTATATAATATTAACTGTAATGTAACCGTATTATTACAGGTATCTGGTAACCATAGAGCGTACAAATAAATGAAAAATTGCCCGCACCCACAATTAAAAACCAAAATAAATTTTTTATAGTTTTCAAATTTACTAAAGGATTGTAGTAGTAATTAGGGGTAACAGTATGTCACGTGTAGCATTTGACACGACTTGACACCACAAATATAAATCTTACAATGTTGTTGACCATTTCTCCACAACACCAAAGTTCATCGTTCAGGATCTGAAAACCACATTTCTCATCTTCAGTCAACTGAGAAGATGTCAAATATTACTGGAATTGCAAAGATCTCTTAAATCACTAACAACTCCTCACCTAGTTTTTTTCAATGTAATGTACTGTACTGTACAATGTAACAGTTCCCTTGAACTATACAGGAGTTAAGACAAACTATAAATCATTGGAAAAATCTTATTTAGATATTCCCTAATACTGGATTTTTGGGCAAGAGCAATCACACTGTCCCAAAGAAAGAAAAACTCCTTTACAGTCTAACAATTTAAAAGAGTACCGGTATACTAAATGAAAAAGAAGCCCATTTAAACTTATCTGTCCTATGATCAATAGGTGAGAATCTCTTCTTTTTCAATCATAACTGTCTCAGCTTTATAATTTGGTTTTGATTATGGTAGTTTCTCTATCCCACAGCTATGTCTAAACATTCCAGGGAACAACATGGTACGCTTCCATACAAAAATCCTCTTCAAATTTTACTCATCATCATTGGGATATTATATTTGTTTAGATTTTTTTCTGGGAATAGATTAATTATCATTACACATCAGAGTGATACATACAAAAAACTTTGACTGTGCCATGCTGTGGCGGAACCTGCAAGGAAGTGTTCTTGTTCATATGGACCGGTGCTGGCTGGTTCCTGGTGAGGAAACTGATCAGCAAGTTGTCATCAGTTGTAGGCTAAAACTAGGCAGGTATTTGCTTTTATAAGTTTACAAATACACGTTAAACCTTGTATTAATGAATTTGGCAATGAAAAAGTCGACTGATATTGAGGAGTCTTGTCAAAAGTAAAGAGAGAATCATATTTGGCAACCTTGCCCAGCGAGCCTACACGTATATGTGTTTTCCATTTGGTAAAATCACAAATGTTGAAGATATTGCATCTAGAATGGCATCAGTATTTAACATGGACATATCTGAAGTCGAAAATGAGCTTCTGAAGCTTAAAAATGATATTCAGATCAAATCTAAGGCTACAGGAGGAAGATTCTGGAACCTCAGTGAAGAAAAATATCCCAATGTCAGAAAATGTGCCATGTACCTCACAGCAATTTTTGGATCAACCTACCTTTGTGAATCAACATTTTCACACATGAAACACATCAAATCCAAATACCGATCAACTGCCAGATGAACACCTGAATGCTTGCTTGAGGCTAGCAGTCACTGCCTACAGTCCTAATTACACAAAGCTGGCAGACAACATGCAGTGCTAACCATCTCATTAGTAAATTAAGTATGATTTTGTCATGTTAACAATATATCATAACACTTATTGAACAATATTATTTGTTTACTCTCTCTCTCTACGAATCTGCATATTTTATGGCAATGGGTGAATATTAGGCTGGTAGATCGCGTCAGGGTAACTGGAAAAAGTAGATCACATCACACAAAAAGGTTGGCCACCCCTGCTGTACAGGTATAATGTTCTTGCTGCTAGCAACACTGAAGCCACCATAATGTTTTCAGCACCCCTTATTATGCAAATTCTAATGTCTCACTCAGATATATTTATGTATGCACGTATGTGTCTTTTAAGCCCCATACAGTACTTATATCACTCAAATGTGTAGTATAAGGAATACAGGTATCAGGTATTCACTATCTGTACCAATACTGTAAATGCTATTGTACATCTAGCTACTTCACTAGCCTTGAACAGTGGTGTTGGTCAACATCATATACTGTGCAGTACAGTATTGCAAACACGAATAAATATTGTGAAAATTTTCACCAAGTTGGCATCTTGTTTTACACTGCAAACATCTCATTTACTGACGAGAATGTTTTGCTTTTTTGCACTGGCCAAATGTAAGTTTAACTGGCATGAATCTTTATACTGTACTGTACTTTTCTTCTAAAGCAAGGGTAATGTACAAAAAAAAAAATCTGCACCTTTCTGGTGTTATACATTATGACACACCATACCAAGAATTATGTGCAACACTCATTAATGCGGGTGATTCCAGTTAATTTCTCTGTATCAACTATATGTGATATAAAAAATACATCATACTGGTTATACAGTGTATCACACAACCAGAAACCACCCTTACCAAATTAACATGGCCATAGTAAGTGATCATTATGAAGACCATCAGACCTAGGGGTGCAGAACGTTTTTTTGCTGGCTGTACCATGTACAGTACTGTAATATCATGAAAATTTTCTTCAACTATTTTAGTTTATGTGCCCTTAATAGTAGTGCACTGTGTATGTAAGACTTGGTTATAAATTTAAATAAACTAATCACAATTTGTAAGTTCCTAGTAATCAATTGTAACTTCCCCAACAGATATTACATCGGAAAAACACACAGGCAGAGAAAGCGAGACAGTGTGTGTGGTGGCGTTGCTAATTTGCACTGACAGTCTTTGGTCTGTAATTTCCAAGCAAAGTTGTCATTCCTTAGAATGTTTCAACCCAATTAAAAACTGGTAACATATCTTCACAATGCAATGGCCAGGCCATTTCTCTGGCAGCTTACAAAATCTCGACAACGTAAAGAATTACAGTGCTATACTGTTAAAGATCACAACATTTCAACAATCAATAAATTACAGTGTACATCTTTGTGCTTTGCCTGATTGTAATTATATTTTCCTGTCCTTCATAAACAATGGTAACTCACGTTATCACTGTGAAGAGGTTGGTCAGTCTCTATAGCTTGCATCGTATGGTATGTGCAGTAGCTAAAACAACTACAGTATATGTGCATACTTTGTGGGAAACAATGAGACCATGGCCGATAAATATTGGTGTATGAGGGCTGTCACTAGTCACACGTAAAATTTCGACGCATATCGATCCCCACCTGCACAGATAGTTGTTTTAACTACAAGTACTGTACTGCATGCATGTACAATTTAAGGTGCTAATATATTTATTTTTTATTACCATCCAAACAATAAGCGCAACCAAATTTTCTAAACTTAGCTAGAACACAGTAGAGTTTTTTCCAAGCCGCTTCCTCGTACGTCTGGTAGCGACAACCGCACATCACACGAGGCTGTTTATCTTCTCCCCCTCCCAATAGCTTTACTATGCGCAACCACATTCTTTAAATATTAATTCCATTCAGTGTAACAAAGCACACACTACATCAAAAACCAGACAGAAACAAGTACGATTTGCCATAGCCATTTTGTAAAGACAAATCCAGTATACAATACTGCACTACTATCCCCGTGATGTAACACATAACATAACACGTAAAACATAACAATCTACTGCATTTTGAGTCAGTTCGTCAGTTGCGTAATACCATCTGTAGTATCTTATTAACCATGTCAGGTGATAATCATCATATCGACAAACAATCTGATTATTAACTGGTTGAAACGACCTTTGTCAAGAACCAAACAAGAACACGCCACCAAAGTGACCACAATAAGTTAAAATTATCCACAGCACAGACACACTAACACTGCCCAATCACGACATTAATAAGCAAGTTTCCACACCAATCTCAGTGACTAATGTCGACAACCCAATCCATACCACTTCAATTGTTAGAAATCAATTTCATTTGTCACGAGTACCGACATTGATAATCAGAATAATCACTACCAATCAAGCGGCCATAGCACAAAACCTAGTTAACACTGGTGGCCACGACAAAACCTAGTTAACACTGGTGGCCACGACAAAACCTAGTTAACACTGGTGGCCACGACAAAACCTAGTTAACACCGGTGGCCACAACACAAATCATTGCTAACACTAGTGGTCACAACACATTCCTAGCTAACACTTTCGGCCACAACAACCTAGCTAACATTAGTAACTTCAGCACAATAAGGCCACAATAGCATACCAGATAAAGCTAGCCACAT